CAATCACTTGTTATGCATTAGAGAGTTCGACAATGACTAGGGAGGATAGAAGAAGAATTGATGCCTTTGAGCTGTGGTGCTGAAGAAGAGTATTGAATGTACCACGGAGTGCCAAGAAAATGAACAGGTTCATCCCAGAGAGGGTTAAACCGGGCTGCTCCTTGGAGGCAAGGATTCTGGGGCTTCGTCTGACATAATTTGGCCATGTTGTAAGGAGGGACAAGTCATTGAAGAGGGACATCATGCTTGGGAGGGTGGAGGGACAGTGCAGGAGAGGAAAGCCCTCTATGAGGTGACTGGGTAATCAGGATGGGTGTATCGGAGACTGTGCGATTGGCACAGGACAGGTCAGAGTTTAAGGCTGTTGTACATAGGGTCACTACGAGTCGCAAGTAATTTGATGGCACATAACAACAACAAACAAAATATATATGCATAGAAACTCATTTGCTTTATATACTTTCATTCAAATGACAATGAAATGCAAAAATAGTACTACGGCAATGGTTACATAAAATTATAGATATAATTAATGCCACTGAGTTAATATTCTTTGAAATGGTAAAAATGACAATTTTATTTTATGTATATTTTACCACAATAAAAAAGTCATTAATATTAGTCTTCTACAATTTCTAAATAAGTTGATATTCCAAGCAAAAAGTGAGAAATATTACCAAAGCCCTTAAATAGATCTTTTTTTTTCCTTTCAGACAGGCTTTTGGATTTACCGCCTTAAAAATAAAGATATCAACCATCAACTACTAACGGTGATAGTAACTACTCGAGCAAGTAGTCCTACAAAACTCCCAGTGACCATAACTGCTCACATGAGTGAAAATACAGCACAGTACCCTAGCCCAATGATTGTTTATGCACAAGTCAGCCAAGGGTTTTTGCCTGTTCTGGGATTTGATGTGACAGCCACGATAGAAAATGAAACAGGGCATCAAGTAACATTGGAGCTCTGGGACAATGGTGTAGGTAAGAAGAATTTTCAATTTTCACATACCTTAACTGGAATGTAGAATGTACATAGTATAAATGTAAGAAAACTAGAAATTGTAAAAATTTAAATGGAATCAATGAACATTTTAGGCATTGGTGAGATGAGAAGGTCTGGCAATTGGTCATTTTTAATCTGATAATCACAGCATATACTACAACGAGAATAAAAAGTAAAAGAATAATGGTGTTGTATTCACAATGGAAAAGACAAATTCAAATTCTATCCTCAAGTACAATGCTGTGAGTGTTATGATATAATCTATATACATACAAGGAATAAGACTATTACTCAAATATATGCACCAAAAGCTAAAGCCAAAGAGGAGGAAAGTGAATCTTTTTACCACATTTTGCAACCTCAAATGGGATGTAATGGTAATTAATGATAAATGGTGACTGGTTGCAAAGTTGGAAACGATTAAGAATGAATGGTAATCAGAAAGCATGGACTTGGTAAAAGAAGGTCTTAAATAGAATGATCGAATTTTACATGTTCAATGACTTATTCATTGCAAATGTGTGTTTTTTTAAAAAAATAAAAAATGGCAACTTTACACATGACGTTGCCAGATGGACTGCACAGCAGTCAGACTGGCTTTATCTTTAGAAGGAATCATTAGAGAAGCTCAATATCATCAATCAAAAACAGGCCATGGATCAGATTATCAATTACTCATATACAAGCTCAAATTGAGACTGAAGAAACTTAAAACAAGTCTTTGAGGACCAAAATATGATCTTGTGTCCATCCCCTTTGAATTTAAAAATCCATGTAAGAATAGATTTGAAGCCTTGAACACCAACGATGAGACCAGATGAGTTGAGGGATGACATTGGGATAACATCTATGAAGAGGTCACTACAAAGACAGAGGATAAAGTAAAAACCAAAATGAATCTCAGAAGAGACCTTGAAATGGCACTAGAATGTCAAGAAGCTAATACAAAGGGAACTGATGTTGAAGTTAAAAAACCTGTATAGAAGATTTCAAAGGGCAGCTTGAGAAGACAAAGCAAAGTTATACAACAGAATGTCCATAGACCTAGAATTGGAGAATAAAATGGGAGGAACTTTGCTGGAATTTCTCAAGCTAAAAGAAATGAAAACCAAATTCAAGCCTCAAGTTACAGTACTGAGAGATGCTACAAGCACAATGTTGAATGATCCAGCAAGCATTAAAACATGAAGAGAGAATTTGGTACAGAATCACTGTACCAAAAAGAATTGACTGACATTAAAACATTCAGGAAGTATCATACGATCAAGAGCCAACAGTTATGAAGAAAAAAGTTCAAGCTGCACTGAAGACATTGGCTAAAATAAGGTCCCAGGACCTATGGGATACTAATTGACATGTTTTAAAGTACAGATGCAGCCCCGAACATTCTCACCAGTCTATGAAAAAAAAAAAAAAAAAAGGTCTGAGTACTTACCATGAATTATCCTTTTCCAATATTTTAGAATAAGCAACCAAAATTTCAGGATAAGTACCTTTTGAGTTCAGGTTTTGAACTCAAGAAGTCCTTAAAACTCTGTCCTATATTAACCTTCCAAATTGCTGCAATCACTCATGTTTGCAAACAGTTATGATTCATTATCACTTCTTGGGGAAGCTAATTATTACATTTAATTATTTAGGTGCTGATACTGTCAAGAATGATGGCATCTACTCGAGATACTTCACAGATTATAGTGGAAACGGTAGATACAGTTTAAAAGTACGTGCTCAGTCAAGAAAAAGCGGTGCCTATATAAACTTAAGGCACCATCAGAACAGAGCTAGATATATACCAGGCTATACTGTTAATGGTAAGTGACGTCAAATAGGTATGTGACTTTTGTTTATATAAATTTCATATAATAAGCACGAGAAATCTAATGTTGTTGTTGCTGTTATGTGCCGTCGAGTCACTTGAGACTCATAGTGACTCTATGTAAAACAGCCCTAAACCCTGCTCTATCCTGTGTCAATCGAACTGCCTCTGACACACCCAACCCTATTACCCCAGTTACTGAATCAATCCACCTCATAGAGGGTCTGCCCCTCTTGCACCGTCCCTCCACCTTCCCAAGCATGATGTCCCTCTCCAAGGACCTATCCCTCCTTGAAACATGGCCAATGTCAGGCAAAGCCCCAGAATCGTTGCCTCTAAGGAAGAGCCTGGTTTAACCCTTTCCAGAATGTATCTGTTTATTTTCTTGGTAGTCCAGGGTACATTCAATACTCTTCTCCAGCTCCAGCACCACAGCTCAAAGGCATCAATTCCCCTTCTATCCTTCCTAGTCATTGTCCAACTATCTAATGCAAGTGATTGCAAAGACCATAGCATGTATCAGATGCACCTTAGCCTCCAGAGTGACACCATTGATCTTCAGTACTTTGGCGAGGTCCCTAAGAGCAGACTTTCCCATCACAATACATCTTTT